TGGAGACTCTCTAAAGAAAATTATATTTATCTGGGAATAGCATTGCAATGAGAATGTGAATGTCATAATAAACTATGTGCATATTCGAGAAGGGTGGAGCAAGGGGAAGTTTTTATTATTTATTTATTTATTTTGAGATGGAGTCTCACTCTGCCACCCAGGTTGGAGTGCAGTGGTGCAATCTTGGCTCACTGCAACCTCCACCTCCCAGGTTCAAGCAATTCTCGTGCCTCAGTCTCCCGAGTAGCTGAGATTACAGATGCATGACATCACACCCGGCTAATTTTTGTATTTTTAGCAGAGGCGGGGTTTCACCATGTTGGCCAGACTGGTCTCAAACTCCTGACCTCAAGGGATCCACTTGCCTCAGCCTCCCAAAGTGCTGGGATCACAAGCATGAGCCACCGCGCCCAACCAAAGGGGAAGTTTTTAAAGTTAAAATGAGAAGAAATACATCAAGTATTTTGAATCAAGTATCCTTGCCTACAAGGTTCAATAACAAGGGTGGCATCAGTCCAAGGTGAGACAGGCAGTTGCTGGATAGACATCCATGCAGAAGTATTTTCTGTGTAAGGTTACTATGGCTTTTGTGCAAGGCTGCAGTTTTTGCCATCTTTTGTAACTGTTCTTGTTATGAGGCACACATGCGTGAGAACCCTCCCTTCATGGCCTTCTCTGCCCCCATTTGTCAGGATTTTAACTCAAGTGACTCCATTTTGATTCTGACAACCTTCAAACGCTTAAGACCCCTCTAAACCTGGATCTGCCCTGATCATCACTTTTGTGAAGCTTTCCATGACCTCCTGAAAGGGAAGTCCTCCGAGGTTCCAGAGCACTTTATGTCTAATACTTAATATGTTTTAGTATAACTTATCAGCCCACATAATTGGACAACATATTAGAGAATTTTTGTTCATATGTCTGTCTCAATAGTAGGTATTCAACAAAAACTTGGTAAACGTGTATTACTGATGAAAATACAAACAGAGATTCGTGAGCTTATTTGCTGTCTGTTCCATTTTCAGACCCTGCCACCATCCATCTTCAGAAGGAGCCTTCCAACTGCATGCTCACTGCACACCAGCAGACAGGGAGGGGCCAGAGGAAGCCAGACGGCAGCAAGAGGGGAAAGAAGTTTTCAGGAGGGTGGTGAGAAAGAATGTGAAGTCAAATCACAAAAGGAATGGGAGTCAAACAGAAATGAGGCTGAGAGTTCAAACAGGGAAGGACACAGTAACACAGACCCATCATCTGGGAAGAGTTCTTGTTTGAGGTGGTGGAGTAGTTTCATTTAAAAACAAAGGGAAACGTTCGAAGTACATAAAAAGGAGATATGACAAAAATAGGTATTTAGTTACAATTGGTTAGATTAAACTAGAGAAACTAGCTAATCCTGCACCGTAGCACTCGCTGTTTCTTCCGCTGGACAGCCCTCCCCTGTCAGCTCTCACACATCCTTCAAGAACCAGCTTCACTGTGACTTATCTGAAGCCATTCCTAGGCTTTCCTGCCTGAATGCTCCAGATTTTATTTCTCCCTCAGCTCTGCAACCAAAACTATAAACATAACTATAAGTGTGTTTTTTTACTTATTTTAAACATCTGAGTAAGTACTAAACCATGTGTAAATAAACTATTCTTTATATTTTCATTTGATAGTCTTAACTTTCCCACAATTAACTACTAAATAGAAAATTTTAGTGTTTTTTATTTCAAGTCATCCTTTTATCCCATGTACCCAAGATAGTTATGTTCTAGCAAAATATGACATTGTTCTCCTGGTAAGAGACAAGAAGGCAGGCAAAAGCAAAAGGCAGAACCAAAACACATTTGAAAGCACTTCCCATGGGAAAGAATGTCACATTTGAAAACAGATTCCTCCGTTGTTTCCTTGGTTTAAGCGGAAGTTACTTGCTTTGTAAAATTACAGTTGAAACCATTGTTGCAGAGCAAGAGATTCTCTGTTCTCCTGTGGCAGTTATTACTGCGTCCGAGGCAGGCTCAAATAGAATCTGAGATCATTCAAAATTTAAACAGTGAATGCAGCAATCAAAATGTCACCGGGGTAGGGGAATGAATGAATAATTCAGCTCACTAAAAGTTAACATTTAGAAAAGACCAGACTTGCAAATTCCAGGAGGTAATGAGAGCCTGGAATAAGATGGTCCCTACCGTCTGCCACCTGCTTCAATTAAAAACAAACAAAATGACCATGAAATCTGTATGTTGACCTCCTAGACACCCTGCTTTTTAGGGGTGCATTCAGATCTGAGGAACAGCAGCCAGAGAGTGATCCAACACCCCGATGGGGCATTCAGGAACATTATTTGATTTCAGTTCATCCAACACTTCCTGAGCTTCTACCGAGCCAGCTACTGAACTGGGTGCAGGGAATGCAGAGATGTATAAAACCATCACCGCCTTTGAGGAGCTCATGGTCTAGGAGAGCGGCTGACAAAGACTCAGGGATCCTGCATCATGGGAGGGTATAATAAAGCTATGACAAGGGCAACAGGATCCCTGAAAGGCCAACTTGCATAGGCTTGTGTTTGTGGTGGGGAGTTGTCTGGTATAAAATCTAGATGGCTGGTGACTGTCAGGGAGCTCCAGCAGCAAACTTGGGGTTCAGGACCAGGCCCTCATGAGGACAGCTTTGCTCTTTCATCCCACTGTGACTATAGGTGTGGTGTTTTCTCTGCCTAGGATGTCCTCACCTCCTTTGCCCACCTGGAAACCTCTATTTCTCTGCAAGACATTCACATGAGCTTTACTTTCCAGATGAAAGTGCTCTTGGCTGTCCCAGACAGCCTCGGGTGCCCAATTGTCATAAACAAAGACAATGACCACATCCTGCGGTGACAGCTCCTCGTCTGGTTCAGTAGATGGTCTGCGAACAGAGAAGGCCATGTTTCATCTGTCTGCATGTGCAGAGCCTGACAAGCAAGGCACTCAGTAAATGTTTGTTAAAATGAATGAGGCCGAGTTCCACTTCGCTTAGGAGGATGTGGCTTCCATTCTAAGAACAAGAAAAAGCCTGACATTCTAAAACATCGTAACTTTTCTTGAGCCCATCTGAGGAGGTGAGGCTACGAGACAATGAAGTGAACACAATTCCAAAGACTGACAACTGCCTCCGACCAAAGGGGACACACCTTTGTCAGAGATGGAGGAGGACATGGCTGCCCGAAAAAGCAGGTTGGAGGGAAACAGCTAAAATGGTAATAAATTCTTAAGTGTGGCCTAAGCGCAACAACGTTAGTCCCAGACACAAGGAGCGGGCATTCTACTCACACGCGAGCTCTTTTCCAAGGTCTCCGTCGGGGCTCCTGAGGAGGCTGGGAGGCAGGACTGGAAGAGCAGAGAAGCCACCACGAGCCTAACACAGAGTAGCAACGAGCGCGGATGCAGAGTCAGCCCATGAAGGCCAAGGTGGGGAAGGGACACTGAGAAACCTCAGGGCAGCGCGGGCCCCACAAGAAGCACCGGGAACCCGCCCAGAAGGCCTCTGCCCCACCCCCGCGGCTGTGAGCGCCCACTTCCGGGTCACTTCCGGGTCCCGGGCGCTCGCTCCTCTGCGTCCGGCCATGAAGGCCGAGGTGGGGAAGGGACACTGAGAAACCTCAGGGCAGCGCGGGCCCCACAAGAAGCACCGGGAACCTGCCCAGAAGGCCTCTGCCCCACCCCCGCGGCTGTGAGCGCCCACTTCCGGGCCACTTCCGGGTCCCGGGCGCTCGCTACTCTGCGTCCGTCCTCCATGCGGCCTCCTCAGCTGTGACACGACCAGGCTCTGCATGGGTCCCCCACCCAGCGCTGCAGCTCAAGAGACTCTCCAGACAGTCAGCTGGGGCCGTCGCGGGCCGCCTCACTCGCCTCTCCTGTCACGGGGATGACTTTCTCATGCTGCCTGTTGCCCAGGGTAAGAGCCATCGGTTCATAGATTTTCCTTAAGGTTTTTAGTGTTTTAAGTCTCAGCGGTCCGTCTGGTACTTGTTACATCATCTTGGTCAGAAGCAAACGTTCAATTGATTTTCCACAAAGGTGCCAAAGCAATGCAATAAAGAAAAGAATGCCTTTTCAATAAATTATATAGAAACAACTAGATTCTCACATGCTAAAAAATAAACCTCAGCACCTACCTCCCATCAAACAGAAAATGTTATATGATGGGTGCATAACCTGAACGTAGCAGTTAACATAAACGTAATACAGTTTTTAAGGGAAAGCATATCTCTAAAACTTAAGAGTAGGAAAACATTTCTTAGATAGGATACAGCAAATAACAACAATGAAAGAAAAACATGGTAGATTTTATCAAAACTGAAAATTTTTGCTCATCAAGTGACTGTTAAGAAAACAAATAGGCAAGCTGCTGACTTGGACAAAACATTCACACAACTAAAAACGATCTAGGATGAATAAAGAACTACTACAATCCAATAATAAAAAGACAACTAAAAAGTGGTCAATTAATATGATCAGATATTTTACAAGGAAGGTATACATATGTCCAATAAGGATGTAAAAAATTGTTCAATGCCATTAGTCATCAGGGAGCAGCAAATAATTAAAACCAAAAGACATACCACTACATAACCACAAGAATGTCTAAAATTAAAAACACTGACAGCCACAAATGTTGGTGAGGAAGTGGAGTGACTGGAACTCATATATTGTTGGTGGAGGTATAGTGGTATCTAGCAATTTCTTGCTAGGTAACATACACTTACCCTATGGCCCAAAAGTTCTATGCTAGGCATTTATCCAAGTGAAATGAAATATATATTCATTTAAAAAGCTCAGATTTGTAATATCCAAAACTAGGAAACTCCCAGGTATCTATCAATAGGAAAACAGATACACAAACTGCAGTATATTTGTATAATGTGATGCTGCTCAGTAATAACAAGGAACAAATTATTAATACACAAAACAACATCAATGAATCTCAAAACCATGCTAAGTGAAAGAAACCAGATAAAAAAGAGTATGTACTACTGTCTATACATTATAATTACATTTATTTGAAATCTAGAATAAGCAAAATGAATGTACAAAAAAAAGAGAGCTATCCATCAAAACAATGATGATACCAAAAAAATCAGATTGATGGTGCCTCTGGGGAGGAAGGAATGGTGGGAATTAGCTGGCATAAGGGACTTTCTGGGATTACAGTACCATTCTATGCCTTGACAGGGGTTTGGGTTATACAGATTTAGGCAACTACCAAAATTCAACAAATGATAACCTTAAATATTTGAGCATTGCATTGATTGTAAAATTTACCTCAAAAGAAAAAAGTTAAATGGATTGATGGATGAATAGAGGGATGGAAAAATAGATACATATGTGATAAAACAAAGACAGTAAAAAATAGTAAAGTCTAGGTGGTTGGTATATAGATGTTCACTTTAAAATTCCTTCAACTTTTCTTTGTGCCTGAAAATTTCATAATATAAAGTGATGAGAAAAATTGTGTTAAATGAATAGGGCAAGATGCTAGTCTTAGACAGGCCAAAGTACTAGAACGGGGACTCAAGTACAAGGTTATAGGACAAGACCAGTTAAACAGGGGAATAATAGTAATAATGGCCATCATTTATTTATTGGATACTCACTGTACGGGGCCCTGAACAGGGCACTTCTCGAAACTCAGCTTGCTTAAGCCTTCTAACATACCCATTTTACAGATAAGACACTAAAGGTTAGAGAACTTATGTAATTCATCCTAAGCCCCACCCCACAGCCAGAAAGTGGGTAAGCCAAGGTTGAGCCCTGGCCTATCAGATCCCAGGCAGCTTATCCATCATGCTGTTCCTCCTTTGCTACACTTCAAAGGGAAGGCTGGAGCTACTTACTTGAACCAACAGCTTTTAAGATTAGAGCAGGGCTGATTTGATGAGTCACTGGAATATTAGAGTCCAGTCATGTGTTGCTTAACAATAGGGATACATTCCAAGACTGCATCCTTATGCAATTTCATCATCATGTGAACCCATGGAGTTCATTTACACATACCTAGATGGTGTAGCCTACTACACAGTTAGATTTTATGCTATAGTCTAATGCTCCTAGGACACAAACCTGTATAGCAAGTTACCGTACTGATTATTGTAGGCAATTGAAACACAATGGTAAATATTTTATGAATCTAAACATTTCTAAACATGGGAAAGGTACAGTAAGATTTGATATAAAGTTTAAAAAAAAAAAGATACTCTTGTATAAAGCATTTGCCATGAATGAAGTTTGCAGGACTGGAGGTTGCTCTGGGTGAGTGAGTGGTGAGTGAATGTGAAGGCCTAGGATGTTACTGTATACGACAATAGACTTTACAAACTCTGTACACTCCAGCTATGCTAAACTTATGTTTAAAATACAGTAAGTGTGATATGACTTTACAACAGCTACAATGTCACTAGGCTATAGAAATTTTTCAGCTCCATTATAATCTTATGGGACTATATTTTAAATTCCTTCTGATTGGGCAAAGAATGAACTCCACGGTCTAGGAGAGGGCTACCAGAACTGAGGTTCTGCAGTATACACTATGCGGCAGGGACCATATCCCTCTCATGTTCCTGCTATAAACCTACAGGGTTATATAGGTTATATACCTATAGGCATTCCACAAATGTTTACTGGTGAATGAATAAATACATACAGAAATAGGAAACCAGACAGATCATTATAAATTCTCAAGCAGGAATGTGACTACGTGAGTGGGAAAATCATCTTTCTAGATCAATCTTATTTCTCTCAAACTACTTCTGAGATTCTCCAAAAGAATGCAACTTCTTTTGAATGGCTTATTCCTGGAAAGGTTTTTTGTTGTTGTTTTTGTTTGGGTTTTTTGTCTGTTTGTTTTTTGCTGACACTAGAGGTATTCTTTGCACATTCTAATGTATGCCAAGAAGTCTGTAAGAGTTGTGAACAGTCTCAGAATCTTGCTTTTGGAAGATCTTTAGAGGTTGTTCAGGCTAGCAGCTTCCCAAATACAGGATAGTAAAAGAGTCTTGTAATCACTTTTCTCCCTCTTTGCAGGAGAAAGAGCAAAGATTCTAACCTGACAGCAATAGAACAAATGAGAACCACAAAAATCTCTTCTTGAAAGATTCTTAATCTGTGGGAGAGAGTTGCTTTATGAGAGGCCAGGGGCCAGAGCAGGCATGGTCCAGGTTTTGAGTGTTCCAGAGAAGACAGGTCTGCCTGTGCCGTCTCTAGATTTGGTTTTCTTAAGTGTTCTGAAGACAGTTCTATATGGTAGGCCGGGTAATGGAAAAAGAATGCCTCGCCTAAAGACACACTCAAAATAATTTTCTATTTCTGGTTTCTTTAAAAACGATGCTCCCAAACTACTCTTTCAATGAGATTAAAGCCTATTTGCTTCTTTGTTCAAAAGGAATGGGATTCCTTATGTATTTAATTGAGGGCCTTTTGGGCTACTTAGATTCTTTTACAGAACTGGAATTCATCAGTAGGTTCTGGTGTTAATGTGGCTGAACCGCTTCAGAACACTCAGTGATTCTCACAAAATCCCAGTGGTGCAGTGTTGTTTTTGTTCACGTTGTGCAAATGAGGAACTAAGACTCAAATAGATGAAATAACTCACAACGTCATTCCGCTGGTACGAGGAAGAACAAGAGAAGGAGAGCTGATCTTCATGCCCAGGTGAGGTCTCTTGACTGTCAGCTTGGTCTTTTCACAACAGAACTTGAGTGCCTGTTTTTCCCAGGTGCTAGCAATTAAAGCACTCCTGCTAATACTCGTCACAAGAATAGCCTGGGAGTCCGAACTCAGCATGTTTGGTTGTTGCTATTTAGATTCATGACTTATTTTGAAGCTGTCAGGCATTCCCTGAGACCTGATGCCAGATTTGTAGTTAAAGGAGAACCATGACCTATCTCCAGAACATTCCCTGTGAGTCTGAATAGGATAGAAGTTATAGATCCCTATGTCTTCACTAAGTTCTTAGTATATTCGGAATGGCTCATGCTTACATCCTTTCTGTCAATCTTCCATCACTCTCTGGAACGTGATGTAAGATCATCAACGAAGCAGAATCACTGGAAAGCAGCTAGAAGGGAGTCAGCCTTTGAGTGGGATGGGCCCATGGTTTCCTTGCCTCTTGCTTCTTCATCATTGACAAGTCAAGGTGCTGGCTAAGTGGAGACTCAAAACAGGAGAATTCACAGACGGTTCGGACAAAAGTAGCTTTTTTTTTTTTTTCCTTAAGTGGAATTATCTTGACCAAGTCTGGCAAAGCATATGGAGACCTAACTAAAAATGGCAGCCAAGAAACTATCAGAAGGGTCTATAACCTTTGAAAGAACTCAATAGTACCTGGCCACATCTTCAATCTCTAATGCTAGGGGATGATAAATTATTCAGATGAAATAATCTTGGCTTCCACTCACCACAGCCCAAGAGCATTGATCCACATCATCACTAATGATGATGAGCATCACCAATCCACAGAGGTCTTCATGATGAGATGCCAACATGAAATGGAGGAGTGACAGCATCTCTGCTTTAGACTGTTTACCCCTTCCTCACCCTGAGATTTCACATGCTCTTCAGCGGGCCTCCAGGAGTGAACTGTTCTTCCTGCTACGTCAAACAGCAACATGAAGATCAATTATCTACCTATATTCCCTGTTGGGCTCAGCGTTTGGGGTAGCAAAGGACTGATTCAGATCCCCCTGCTGGTATGGAAGACAAATCCATTATCTCACTTCCATACCAGTGCTTTTAACATCTAGATCAGTGCTTTTAAAACTTAGATTTGCCTAAGAATTATCCATGCATCTTGTTAAAATGCAGATTCTGATGCACTAGGTCTTATTGGTAGATACTCTGCCTTTCTAGCAAGCTCCCAGGTGATGCCAATGGTCCTGGTCTATGGATCACTCTTTGGAAGGCAAGGAACTACATGACTGTGAAAAGTAGGCCCACCCTCTAGACTCTCTCCACCCGGGTCTAACCTGTACATTATAGCAATATCACACCTCTGCTCAAATCCACTTTCTCTCTCTTTTTTTTTTTTTTTTTTCAGACGAGGTATCGCTCTCTTGCCCAGGCTGGAGTGCAGTGGCACGAACTGGGCTCACTGCAGCCTCTGCCTCCCCGGTTCAAGCGATTCTCATGCCTCAGCCTCTGGAGTAGCTGGGATTACAGGTGTGTGCCACCACACCCGGCTAATTTTTGTATATTTTAGTAAAGACAGGGTTTCGCCATGTTGGCCAAGCTAAATTCACTCTTTTGCCTGACATTCAAGGTCCTGTACAAACTGATCCTACTTGCTTTGTAACCTTTTCTGTCATTGCTCTCTTCTCATGATCTGCATCTCAAGCAGGTTGAACTATTGCTGCTTCCCAGACATACTGCCACTCTGCCTTTATTTTGCTCTTTCTTCTACCTGGAATGTTCTTGCCCACCTCTTTCAAGGCCCAGCTCAAGTGCTGCCTCCTCTATGAAGCCAAATGAGTCCCTCCAGCCAGAGGCCTTCTTCCTTCCTCTGGCTACTGATATCACTTTATAGCTATGTCTCTTGGGGACTCTATCACTATCTGTCTTAAACTATGACTTGTGGACCATGTCTTTTATCTGGTCTCTACTATTATTCTTTGTAAACTTTCTTAGGGCAGGTTCTGTTTTGGTTTGCTTGTAACATATAGACACTTATCACAATGAATTACACATAGCAGGTACTTGGAAGTAAGTGCGCGTGTGTGTGTATATCAGTTAATTTTATCAGAGTACGATTTAAATCAATAAAATGCATAGATTTCAACTGTACTGTTCATTGAGTTTTGTACCCAAGCAACTACCACCCAATCAAGATAGAAAACTTTTCCATCACCTCAGAACACTCTATTTCCTGTTCCAGCCAATCCCCTGCAACAGCTCCCCTCCCTAGCTAGAAAATAACTGTTCAGATTTCCACCAGCATAAACTGGGAAAATAACTGTTCAGATTTCTACCAGCATAAACTGGTTTTGTCTCTTCTTGAATTTTACATAAGTGGAATTATAGAAAACCTACTCCTTTATCTGGCTTCTTCCACTCAACATAATGTCCATGCTGCCACACTTTGGAAATAGCTTCTTAAATAATTCACTGATGGGGGCGATGGAAGCGTTGGTTTAGTGAAATCAGACTGGCCTGGGGACTTTCCTGAATTCAAGGACATTTTGGACTTTCTGTGCTTGCTTCCTGCCTGATGTCCACCTGTTCACTAAATTACTGAAGCTCCTTGAAGCCCTGTCGCTCTTTCTCTGCCAGCACTTCTGCCTCCTCCACAGTGCCCATGTGTCTTCCCACTATTGCCAGCAAAGGGCTGTCTCCCGACTGCCTTCCCTACCAGCTCCCTAAGACTCTGTTGCTGAGCTTCAAGGTTCTGTGTTCCCTCGGATTGGCTCTGTCTGTTGGAAAAGATGTGCTCTCCACTGTTGGTTTCTGTTTGTTTTTGTTTTTGCCAATCAGCTTTTCTTCTTTGAGGATGAGGGTGGGTCACCCTCTGAGGCTCAGCCAAAGTCACCCATCCAGTGTCCTCCATGCCCATGACCTGCTATGGCTCATATCAATTCTTTGGCAAGAGGCAAATGCAACTGGAGCCCCCAGTGGGTTGCTGGCCCTGGAGTCTCCTGCGTGCTGCGACCTGGGAATTCTCACCAGACCTCACCTGAAGTCAGCTTGCTCCCCTCTGCCAGGCCACATGGCCCAGCAGTGGTGACAATGGCAGTAGGCCATTCCTGGCTAACAGACTCATGCTTGGTCTGGTTCTTAGTGTATGTTGGGCTGAAAAGAGCAAGCATTGCTTCCTTCCCATCATAGTAGTCACAAAGGGCTTATTCTCATATCTTTTATTAACTTCGCTGTTGTCTAGGTCAGAGTTGCCTCTCCGGGTCTGTGTGTGACTGATAGGGTGAGAATGAGGCCCAGACTGGACAAGTCCTAAATTGCGGCTCCAGAAAAGGAAGGCCAGGCCTGCACCTCCTGACACTGGGACGTATGGCTGAGATGTGAGCAAAACGCCAGGTGCCACCCACAGTGAATTATCTTAATCTGGGAATAAGGAAAGACAGCCATAGGGTCACTCTGCCATTTTGCACTTTTTTTGTTTTGAGACAGAGTCTCTGTTGCCCAGGCTGGAGTGCAGTGGCACAATCATGGCCCACTGCAACCTTAAACTCCTGGGCTCAAGACAGCCTCTCACCTCAGCCTTCTAAGTCGCTAAGATTACATGTATACACCATCACGCCTAGCTAATTTTTAATTTTTTTCTGCAGAGACAGGGTCTTACTGTGTTGCTGGGGCTAGTTTTGAACTCCCCTGGCCTCAAGTGATCCTCCTGCCTGGACCTCCCGAAGCGCTGGGACTACAGGCGTGAGCCACCACACCCAGCCCATTTTGTACTTTATGGGATTTCATTTCCTGATTGCTCCTGAAGGACATGTGTTCCTAATAATGTGGAACGCCCACATAACCCTTGCAGCCCTATGAGGTCAGCATTGTTATTCCTGTCTTAGGAAACCACAGCCCAGAGAGGGTGCTGACCTGTTCCTGGTTGTGTAGCACAAATGGCAGATCCTGGATTTACACAGGCCTGGCTCCAAGCTGTTCCTACCACTCCATCACCCTGCCTTTCTGTCTGGCTCCTGGAAGGTGATTACGATGTCTCTGATCTCATATATCCCATCAAAGTGCTTAGATGTGCTGACCACAAAGCTCTTCTCGGCTCCTTACAGCACTTAGTGGTGGGAAGCCAAGAAGGAGCTAGTACCTTTCCCCTCCCCGCCAAGGGGTCGCTGGAGCTTGCGGTTCCCGCCCATATGCATTAGCCTCTGCTGCATGACTTGATATTTGCGGTATACTGACAAGACCTATTGTATTAGTTTGCTAGGGCTGTCGTAACAAAGGACTGCAGACTTGGCTTAAACAACAGAAACTTATATTTTCACAGTCCTGGAAGTTGGGAAGTCCAAGATCAACCCTGTCAGCAGCGTTGGTTTCTTCTGACACCTCTCCCTACCTAAGCTTGGAGATGGCCATTTTTGGAGTTGGCTTAGCAATGGCCATTTTTCCCCCTATGTCTTCATATCATCTTCCTTCTGTGCAAATTGTGTTGTAATATTCTCTTATAGGACACCAGTCATAGTGGATTAGTGCTTTAATTGTTTTAACTTAATTACCTCTTTAAATACAAATATAGCCACATTTTGAGGTACTGCGAATTAGGACCTCAACATACACATTTTGGGGGAACACAGTTCAGGCTGCAACACCTATCCAAAAGTATTTGCCATTCCAGGGTTACGACACATTTCAAATTCCTACCATTGGTCCTCTGAGCTAGAGTTTCGTTAAAGTGCAAACATTTTAACAGAAGGAAAGAGTATGGAAACACAGATTCCTACTAACATTGCAGTCATTTTTCCCTATAAATTACTCAGCCCAGTGCCAAGCCTGCTGAGATGACCTTAGGGCAAATTATTTGAGAATGAGGGAAGAAATTAAGGAATAAACTATAGGGTTCTGCCCAAGAGCCTGGGACAACATGTGGTACCGTATTGAGCTGTGGCTTCATGGATGGAGTGTAGAGGGATGAAAGATGCTGACAGAAACTAAGATAAGATTTACCCACTTTTAGGATTTTGCTGGGCACTGTGTGGTAGAGTGTTAAGGTATGAATTTTGGAATCAGGCAGAACAGGATTTGCTGGTCACCAGCTGTGAGCCCCTGGGCAAGTTGCTTGAGCTATCTGGATCTGTTTCCACTGAGCACAGTGGGGAGATATTAACGCCACGCTCCTGGAGTTGTGATGATGAGCCATCCTCCATTGGGCAGGGAAAGCATGGAGCATAACAATAGCGCACAGAGATGTTCAGGAAATGAACCTCATGCACTGCTCCAACACTCCATCAGAGTACACACAACAACCTAGATCCCAGAAGATATTTCCGAAGTGATGTGGAAAACTTCCTTCCTCACTCGAGTAGAACCAGGATATCCCAGAGAAAGAGCAACCCAGCCGCAGACCTGAAATTCAAAGCAATAACCAGGACCAAACTAGTAAGCAGATTCCAGAAGAATGAGAACTTTCCAGTGTCTGACCTGGCCCTCCGATGGAGAGGGCCCCTGCTAAGAGGTGGCCTGGAACACTCTGAGGTGGGGACAAGGCACTTCATTTTGAACTTGAACCCCAAAGTCCACGAGTCCAAGCTGAAAAGTTAACCCCAGAGCAAACCACGCCACAAAAGACCACAACGTAAGGGCTAAACAGCCCCGACAATCCAGAAGCCAAATCACTGGGAGCTGTTAATCCAGGAGGGGAACCAAGGCCAAAAGCCACACTGAGATCAGAAAGCAAAGGTGCTACCAGCCAATGGGACCAAAGAGGAGCAAGGCAGTGATAGACTCTGGGACCAGCAGGAAAACCAGCTGCCACCAGCTGCCTGTGGCTGAGAGTGGAGCCACATTATATGCCCTTTAAGAGTGAATATGCAAATTAAACCCATTATGACCTGCAGAGAGTGAGAAAAGACCATGTCACAGCACGTGCCACCCACCTCCTGCACCCAGTGGGCCTGTGCCTTGGCATGAGCAGGGAGTGGAGCTAGGGCTCTGCTATCTTCGAGGACAGTCTCAGCATCTGGGGCAGTTCACCTGGTGAGCATCTTGCCATCCTGAAGGTGATTTTGTTGATACAGATTCAAATTTTTCATATAAAATGGCCTCTAAACGCAATTCAAACACTGCATCCGATGCTCAGCTCAAGGGAGCAATACTAACAGTGTGCAATTTTTACCACATGTACTGGCCAGACAACCTGAATCCTGTGAAAGTCTACTCTGTATTTGGTACCTATGAATGCAGGCGGGGGCAGATCCTGAACTGTGAAAAATAAGTATTTGTTGTTTAAGTTACCTAATCTATAGTATTTTTGTTATATAGCAGCCTGAACTGACTCAGACATATGAGTAGTTAAATTCCGAGAGACAGAAAGTAGATTGGTGATAATCAGGGGCTAGAGGAAGGAACACAGAGTTGGTGTTTAATGGATACAGTTTTACTTTGGGAAGATGAAGAAGTTCTGGAGATGAATAGTGGTGATGTTTGCACAAGAATGTGAATGTATTTATTGTCACTAAACTGCACACTTAAAATAGCTAAACACTAAATTTTATGTCATATAAAATAACATATGTATTACCACAATTTTTTTTTTAAGAATTGGTACTGTGTAACTAATAGACATTCCCCTCACCAGGAAATCTCTGACCAAACAGCTCAATTAGGTTAAGAACTATGTGCTCAGCAAGTGTATCTACTGGTGTGTTTTGTGGCCATTTTGGCTTTGCCTCCGCTTCCGTTGGAATTGAAGATGCCCAGCCTGTCAGCTGAGCTGCGGGTGGGATGGTTTGTCCCAGCTTTGCAAGGTTAGCCAGAGAGGACTTCGTGTGTCTGAGGCTTCTCCCCTTTACCAATAGTGGCAGTCGGGGAGATGCCTCTTTGCTCCTGGTATTTTCTTCCATGCAGAAACAATCTTAACAACCAGGCCATTCTGGCCTCTGGTCTTCCTCACTTCTGCTCAGCAAAAGTGGAGTGGCCTCTGCCGTGAGGGAGAGCCTCGTGTACCCAGCCCCTTGCTGTCTGCATCTGCTTGGGAGCAATCCCACTGCAGGAAGCCCACCTTCTGCTCCACATTCCCCGTGCCTGCTGCCTCGGCCTGGGCCTGCCTGGTTGCTGGGCTGTTGTGATCAGAAGCCCCCATGCCTGTAGATCTAACCCTCCTCCTCACATACCATCCTCATCGGTAGGAAAGGTGCTAGGTTGGTCTCTGTCTGCCAACTCCTTTGTCTTTTCTCAATTCGTTCAGAACTTGGGTGGCAAGAGCAATACCGGCGGGAGGCTCAGAGATCTAAACATCATTTCTCATTGTGTTCCTGAAACCACCAGGGGCTGAGTTGCTACATTCCTCTGAGGACATTGTCATGCTCTGGGTCTCATCTCAGCCCAAACAGAGGGGAAGGCAGCCTGGGAAGCAGGGTCCTCCGTCTGAAGCGGAGCTCACCCACTGAGGTGCGCAAGTCCCGCCAGCCGGACTCCAGAGCAGCTGCTGGAAGGACACTCTGCCCTGGAAGGATAGAACATGACACTGGGGGGACCAGGTCACACACAAACAAGACAGCCTGGCCAGAGGAGGCAGCAGAAAGCTCAAACATGGTGGTTCTTTTTCTATTGCTGGGTAACAAATTATCAGATATTTACCAGCTTAAAACAACCTGTGTTTATGATCGCACAGCGTCCATGGGTCTGGAGTCTATGGAAGGTGGGGCTCGCCTGTCACCTTCAGATCCAGCCCGGGGCAGAGTTCCCACGTCAGTCCTTGCTGAGCAGACAGCATTTTAGCAACAATCTCAGTCTCTGACCTGGGGGGTTTAGAATTAAGTCAGTGATCTGGGATATAGAGGCCTGGTCACAGCAGGCTGGGTCCTCAGCTCAGGGTCTTGCAGGCTGCAATCCAGCTGCCAGTCAGGCAGGGGGGTAACAGTCAGCACACACCTCTTACCACCACAGGGCCCCACAGGGATCCATGAATGCCTGGAGATGGGCGGCTGATGGGAGGCAGCAGGTTACAAACCCCCACAGGGTACGATTCAGAGGCCTTGGGTAACATAATCAGACAGAAGATAGAAAGAAGGCACAAAGTCATGTACAAGGCCAATCTGGAAGCACACAGCGTACCTCTTCTGGGGCTCGGGCCAGCAGAGCAGCAAAAGAGAATCATACCCGAGAGAGACGAGGGAGCCTGCCACTGTGACCAGGCCTCTGTATCCCAGATCACTGACTTAATTCTAAATCCCCTGGGTCAGGGGCTGAGATTGCTGCTGAAATACTGTCTTGTCAGTGAGGACTGATGCAGGAACTCTGCAGGGCTGGATCTGAAAATGACAGGCAAGTTCCATCTGCAAGGAGTGGGAAGGCAGAGGCCACCAGATGCCTTTAAGCTTTTACTCTTGACCCTGACTTCTCCAGATGAGCTGCTCACCTAAACCTTTGCTCTCCTGATGGTCCTCATTCTACCAGCTTTGTGCTCCTAAACCTCCAGGCTGCTTTTTCTACCTATGCTGCCTTAGACTGCCAACTGATGACAAATTGTCGGCCTCGACTTCTCTGCTTTTTTCTTCTTCTTCACTTCTGAGGTCTTTGCTCCTGATGAAAGGCTGGTGTTGAAAGGATTCCAGCCACAGCCTGGACCACACCCCAGGAGCCAGTCTGTCGATGCTCTTGTCTGAGTACCTTTCTCATAAATCAGCCAGAGAGGGGTTCAGTCTGCATCCTGGCCAGAGATCGATGATGCTAATGGCGTCTGGTCCATTAGAGGTGGAAGAGTTACAGCCTGTGCAAGTCTGCAGCGAATTGCACCATCAGCTCTGCCAGGTACAGACTCTGGGAATATTCCTTGGTAGTTCTCTGGTCACTCAGAACAGGGCACAGTAGAAGGAAAAACCTTGTCACAGGGCCCTCTGACAGACGGTTCTGTCCTATGCCAGGTTCTTCGTCCTTCCTAGTCCTAGGGACACAACCCCTTGCAGTCATCCCATAAAGTAGTTTTCTTGATTATTACTGTAATAGAACTGTCTGTAGACAGTCATCCTTCTCCCAAAGTCTGTAGCCACTCTGCAAATTATCCTCACAGAGCACTTTAAGCTGGACCACTCCAAGGATGAGGACCTGGAGGAAGCATCTGGATAGATACAGCCTGTGCCGTGCTGCATTGGGAAGGGGTCATCCCAGTGTGGTTCCAGGATCATGGCTCTTGGAAATCCCAGTAAGGATGCCTTATTCTAGAAAATAAGCTTTATGGTTAGCAAAGATGACTATGTTCTCCTTATTAATGGGTACCATTGGAAGATAGCGCATCCCTGGACCTACTCCCTAGGTCACTTCCATGGTAAGGCTCCAGTCCCTCCACACAGCTTCACTCAGGAACATCTCTTATTATCCAGGCAGCAAGATCCTATTTGCCACGTTGTATTCTCTTAGACCCATCTTTTAGCAGCTGTGACTTATGCACATCTTCATCTCTAGGGTATCAAAATCCAAGATCTCTAAATCAAATGTAGGCGATGGCTGGAATTTCCCCATCCTGTGGGCAGCAACTTTTGGGAACACTGACAAAATAGAAGAAAAAAAGAGGCTGGATTCTATTTGCATCTTAACACCAACGGCTGAATGAAGCCCTGACTCCCCGTTTTGATGTGCTACCAAGTTTGAATCATGCTGACACATGCCCATCTGTCAGGTGGAATAATGGGGGTTTGAGTGGCTTGATTGTAGCCCAAGGATTAAAGTCCTGCTGAGTTACCTGGTGTTGAGTTAAGGCAGTAAAGAGAATGCTCTTCTCTGCCTAAACCAAAGCAAAGACAGAGCTTTTTCCGCTAATGGCAACTCCTAGCCACAGATCTGTTGCTAAAAGGAAAACAAGCCCATCTCCTGTTTGTTCTTTAATAGCCTCATCTCTGATGTAAGCAGCCTTCCCACCTCCAGAAACTCAGCATTAAAGTGACATCATTGAAATTTGCCATAAATACTACAAGCACTTTTTTCAAAATGATCTGGTTTATGAGCAGGGTAGCATAACCATAACAAGCACCCCTTTCAATACCAACGAATTCTATTTGAAATAGCCTGTTCATTATTCCATCCGAGGGTCTCTCACCCCTCCTACTTGAAATGCAAAGCAGAATTTTTAAGATTTTGAACTCTGAAGTCAGACATAACTAGATTCAATCCCAGCTCTGAAAATCACCATGGGGTGTGAAAGTTACAAAACATGTCATCAAAATTTTAACACTCCTTCCATCAAGAGCTGGGGTCCATTGTCCCCTATGCTTGAATCTAGGCTCTGGGACTGCTTTACCCAATAAAGTGCAACAGAAGTTATGGTACCAGTTTCTGGACCCAGACTTTAAGAAACCAGCAGCTTCTACTTGCTGTCTCCTGGGATGTTCCTCCTTCTCAGCGCCCAGTCATCCTGCTGGGAGGAAGCTCAACAGCTCATGGAGAGGTCCACGGAGAGGAGACCCAGGTCCTCAGGCCCATAGCCCCAGCTGGGCTCCCAGCCAACAGCCAGCACCAATGTGCCAACCCTACAAGTGAGCCATCTTATAAGTAGTCAACTAGCCCCCAGGCTATGAATAATGCTACTGTGAACATTCATCTACAAGTTTTTATGTAGACATATGTCTTCACTTCTCTTGGGTATTTTCCTAGGAGTAGAATAGCTAGACCATATGGTAATTCCATATTTGACCATTTGAGGAACTGCCAATCTGTTTTCCACAGCGGCTGCACCATTTTATATTCCCACTAATGATATATGAAGACTCCGGTTCTCTTTATCCTAGCCAACATATTTTATTATATGTATTTCTGCTTAGAGCTATCCTAGTGTGAGTGAAGTGGTATCTCATTGTGCTTTTGATTTGCATTTCTCTGATAGCTAATGATATTGAGCGTCGTTTTATGCACTTATTGGTAATTTGCATATTTTCTTTGGTGCATGTCTATTAGATCCATTGCCCATTTTTTAATTGGGTTGTATGTCTTTTTATAATTATTTGTATATCCTAGATATTTAACAGTTATTTGTATATTCTAAATATCAATGTGCAAATATTTTCTCCCATTCTATGGGTTGTCTTTTTTTTTTTTTTCTGAGACAGGGCCTTGCTCTGTTGCCCAGGCTGGAGTGTAGTGGCACAGCTGTAGCTCACTGCAGCCTCAAACTCCTGGACTCAAGTAATCCTTCTACCTCAGCCTCCTGAGTAGTGTGGACCACAGGCATGAACCACTGTGCCCAGCCCTTTTTTTACTTTCTTGATGGTCTCCTTTGAACCCCAAAAGTTTTTGATTTTTATGAAGTCCAATTTGTCTATATTTTTTTTGGCTACTTGTGCTTTAGGTGCCATATCTAAGAAACTATTGCCTAATCTAAGGTCACAAAGATTTACATCTATTGTTTTTAACAAATGTTATAGTTTTAGCTTTTACAGTTAGACTTTGATCCATTTTGAGTTAATTTTTGTATATGATGTGAGGTAAGGCATCCATTTAATTTTTTTACATGTGGATATCCAACTGTCCCAGAACCATTTATTAAAAAAACTATTCTTTTCCCCATTGAGTTATCTAGGCACCCTTGTTGAAAATCAATTGACTGAAAATTTGAAGGTTTATTTCTGGACTCTCAATTGTATTCCATTGGTCTATATATCATTCCTAATGCTACTAACACACTATCTTGATTACTATAGCTTTATGGTAAGTTTTGATATCAGGAAATTGAGTCTTCCAACTTTGTTCTTCTCTTTCAAGATTATTTTGGCGATTCTGAGTCTCTTGCATTTCCATATGAATTTTAGGATGATTTTATCAATGTCTGCAAAGAACCCAGCTGGAATTTTGATGGAGATTGCACTAAATAACTCTACAGATCATTATGGGGAGTGTTGCCATCTTAGCAATATTAGGTGTTCTGATTCTTGAACATGAGGTGTCTATTTATTTATTTAGATCTTCTTTAACAATGTTTTGTAGTCTTCAGAGCATTAAGTTTTGTACTTCTTTTGTTAAAAATATACCCAAGTATTCCATTCTTTTTGATGCTATTGTAAGGGACAGTTCTTGCTGTTTTTTCAGTACTAAGAAGGCCTTCCTTGCTAATGGTTCTAAGATAGAACACAGATATTTCAAACTACGTAGGAGTTTTAGGCTTCTGGTTAAACTTTAGCTATTTTACAGTTAATCAACTGGAAATAAACTACATAATAAAGACTTTTCCTTTGCCCTGCTCCAATAGGGTCTAACAAATTAAATTTATATTTTCAAGGAGCTTACTTTTCGTTTTATTTACTTTTGTTTCTCAGTTCAAATGCAATCAGCAGGGAAACAAAATGTGGCCCACTATGCTTTCCTCAGACCTATGTTAAATAACCTTACTTTAAAGAAACATAAGGCAGAAGTCCTTTCCCAGCTACTTTCCTTGAAAAGAATTCTATCTTTGGGTTATTTCTGTATGCCCTTTCGGCAATGCAATCTTTAGTCTCAACATATGTGGATATCAAGTTTCTTCTTTCTTGGGAATAATTAGAAAAAGCATAAAGTGGAGTTTGGAAATAGAAAAGAGATGATATAAAAGAAGAGTAGTGGGAATTTTGCGAATAAACCTTGACAGAAATGAAGGGAGCTGACGGCAGGGCCTTTTGTGCCTTGAATAGCTCCTGCTCGGTGAGGAGGGACCTGCTGAGGGACTCTAGTGCCCAGCAGGGCATGGCCTGGCTGTGGCTTCAGGCATCGAAATCAGAAAGAAACCAAAATGGGCTGCTTTTTTTGTTAGCAAAAAGTTTCAAATATACCAAATTTTAAAAATACATATTTGTCATAATGAACAAATACAATGTACCTCCAGGAACCCACCACCCCAGATTCAACAATCATCAACTCATGATCAATTCATCTATAAACCCACCAATCCCCCACCTCCACCTCTGATTATTTGGAAGAAAATCACAGACATTACATTATTTCACCTACAAGCCTTTCGTTGTATATGTATATATCCATATCTGTATGTGTGTCTGTGTGTGTGTGTATAATTTTAACATTATAAAATATTCAACCAGGTTCAAATTTCTCCATTACCTCATAATTTGTTTTCCTGATGGTTTTTTGGATCAGGATCCAAAAACTTATATGAAGCTTCATGTGTTGTAATTGGTAGATGTTTCCCTTTGAGTCTTTTAATCCATGTTCCAATGAAGATCCAGGCACGAGGAGAAATGCACATGAGTCGTCTGCAACAAAGCAAAATAAATGTGTGTTGTCCCGTGGAAATTGTAGGCAAGGACAGTCTTAACCACTTTCAGCAACCAATAACAGTGAGTATAAATTTCACAGGTCATAGATTCAAAAGCATAAAAATGTAACTTCATTTTACCAATTTTTAACTTGAGCCCCCCCATTCTGTCTTTAGTTTGAAAACTCAACCTAGCCTCAGATAAATTTAATCAAATGCAGTGAAATTTCCATTTTAATCACATTCAGAACATACCTTCCCTGATTTCCTCCTGGAGCTGGTGTGATCCACTTAAATGCAGCTTGTGGTGGTGGGGAGGAGCTTATCTGAGCTCCTTCTATTTCATTTTCCCCCTCTGCATTAATTTTTGATTACTGTGTAACAAACTGCCACAAACTTAGCAGACTAAAACAACACTCATTTGTTAGCACAGAGTTCTGTAGGTCAGAAATTCTGCACAGCATGGCTGGCTTCACTGCTCAAGGGAGCAAAGTCCTCTGGAGGCTCTGGGGGAAAATCCACTTCCAAGCTCATTCCTGTTGTTGGCAGAATCCAATTCTTTTTGGTTGTGAGACTGTAGTCCTGGTTTCCTTGCTGGCCTTCAACTGGGAGGTCACCCACATCCTTACACATGAACCCCTCCATTTTCAAGCCAGCAAGGCTGCATCATATCTTCCATGGGCTTCAAACTTGACTCCCTTATCTGTAGCCAGAGGGAGAAAACTGCTTTTAAAGGGATCATGTGACTAGGTTATTTCCCCCTCCCCACAGATCGTCTCCCTGTCTTCACACCAACTGATGTGGTAACTTAATGGCATCGGCAAAATGCCATCACAGCAGCTTCTAGGTGCATATATACCAGGGACTTGGAACCAGGGTGGGGCGATGGGGTCTCAGAAGTTTGCCTACAATGGTCTCCATGAGACACAGCTGCATCCTTAACTGTCCACGCCATACCTTCTGATGGTGGGTCTCCTCATCCAGTCTTGAGTCCTGCTCTCTCTCTCTGTCTCTTTCTCTCTCTCACTCTCTCTCTCTCTCTCTGTAACCTCCAGCTAACCTCCAGAAGTGAGAAAGGCAGGACTGGGGGCTGAAAGAGAAGTTGTCCCCCAGTGTGTTGTAAACTGCAGCTCCAACTCCGATGGCCATTCACAGTTGGCCCAAACTGAGACAAGGAGACTGGGCTTTTATATCCCCACATTGCCCAGTCATTGGCCACAAGCCACTTCTTGGAGGAAGGGGGTGAGGCCTTACCTTGCGGAAGGGGTTGATGCCTAATCAGTTCCCCGTGGCTGAGGGCAGTTTCTGATGACAGACCCAGCTGAGAGATACCTGCTGTTCGCAGTTGCTGGGAAATGGGTGCCTCTGTCCAGAAGAGGGGATACCAGTGAGTGCTGCAACAATATCCACTCCACCCATCTGTTCTCCTTTCCACATCACAATTGGGCCTTTCCTTTTGAATATGTAAGCCAAGAACGTTGGATTTTCAATGCATGAGCTAGCAAAAAAGACTTCATATTTTACAAACCATCCTGCCACAGGAAAGTGGATATTCAAATGCATAGTATCCATTATTATTAATTTAATGTATAATAGAATTTCGTTGATTTTTTAGTTGTGCATATACTACTTTACTGGGTGTTTTCATGTCAGTAAAACATTTAAGCCCCCTCACATCCTTTCTGGAACACAGTGAGAAATAAAATCATCAAATATTCATGTGTTCTCATGGATTATTTTACACCTGGAGTCCTACTGTTAGATATGAGTTCTAAATTTCTTTTCAAATAATCAATATGTCAGTATGTTCAATTCTTTGCCTTCTACTTTTAAACTTAACTTCCTCATAAAGCAATCTTTTTCGATTACCTGCTCCACCCTAACTCATTCCGATTACCTGCTCCACCCTGACTCATTCCAATTACCTACTCTACCCTGACTCATTCCGATTATCCGCTCTGTCATAACCATTTTTCCCACCAAAGCACTCACCCCGTCATTCTCTTTAAATTAGCCAGTTGGAATTAGTTTAGCCTGTGCGGTCTAACCCTAGCCAAAAGGGTAACGGCACAGCAGCAGGGACCACATACATCAGAGATGAGAACTCCTTTCCCTCCCTTGTCTAATTGTGCACTCACCATTGCTCCATCTGCAAGGGTGCACCCATCTATAGAAGTAACTTGCCTTGGCCGGGCGCGGTGGCTCAAGCCTGTAATCCCAGCACTTTGGGAGGCCGAGACGGGCGGATCACAAGGTCAGGAGATCGAGACCATCCTGGCGAACACAGTGAAACCCCGTCTCTACTAAAAATACATAAAAAACTAGCTGGGCGTGGTGGCGGGCGCCTGTAGTCCCAGCTACTCAGGAGGCTGAGGCAGGAGAATGGCATAAACACGGGAGGCGGAGCTTGCAGTGAGCTGAGATCTGGCCACTGCACTCCAACCTGGGTGACAGAGCAAGACTCTGTCTCAAAAAAAAAAAAAAAAAAAAAAAAAAAAAAAGAAGTAACTTGCCTTGCTGAGAATTAAAAAGAAGATTTTATATTTGAGCACAATTTCTTTTGTGGCACCGAAACTTTATTTATAACACTACCAACTCAGTTCTTCCCATAAAATACAATAGGGGTTGTTTTCTAAATGTCTAGTCCCCATTAATTTACCCAAATTGACCCAAGGTTTGGGAAGCCTGAATTCCCATCTGTCTTACTACCCCTGTATCTCCAACACATGCTGCTGACTTGTAGTAGGTGTTTGGCAGTGAATGAATGTCTGATAAAAATAAATATATGCATACACAAATAAGATTAATGTTATATATAAAGTTTCAGTGCCACAAAATAAATAGCACTCAAATATAAAATTTTCTTTTACTTCTCAGCAAGGCAAGGTGCTTCTGTATAAGGGTGCGCCTTACAGATGGAGCAGCAGCGAGTGCACACTTGGACAAGGGAGAGGAATAAGTCCTCATCCCTGACGCACGTGGCCCCTGCTGCTGTATCATTCCCCTATTGGCTAGGGTTAGACCACACAGGCTAAACTAATTCCAATTGGCTAAAGAGAGTGACGGGGTGAGTGCTTTGGAGGGAAAAAAAAATGGTTATGAAGGGTGAAGAATGAGTCAGAGCAGGGCAGGTAGCAGGTAATCAGAATGAGCCAGGGTGGAGTAGGTAATCGAAAAAGGTTGCTTTATGAGGAAGTTAAGTTTAAAAGTAGGAGGCAAAGAATTAAACATACTGACATACTGAATCTTTGAAGAGAAATTTAGAACTTATATCTAACAATCCCTCCTCTTGCATTTCCTTACAGATTTTGCTGTTCAAACTTTTAAAACATGTCTTGGCTTATTTGTTCTGCTGGATTTTCCAAAAGAAGAAGCTTCTTTGGATAAGGTGAAGGATAGTTAAGGGAAGTTTTAGTAAGTGCCATTTCTATGAGCCCCTCCACCAACTTACAGATGCATGGTATGACACAGCACCCGAAAAGAATAAATAATCCTATTACAGTTGCGAGGGAAATGAGAATTGAGGCTATTATTCCTTTCCATTTACCGAACTACTTTTCTAGCCGTCCTCTAAAGGGGTCATTTACCCCTGAGTTGCTAGCTAACTCATTGGATAGAGCAGTCAGACCTTGCAATGCCTTTGTTATACTTCCATTAGGGGCAGTGTTGTTTGGGATGAAAGTGCAACATTGAATTTGAATCATGATGCAAACTCCTCTTCTTTCTGCTAATACCATGTCTAAGGCTATTCTATTTTCCCAAGCCATCTGGCTAGTAGCCCCTAATTGTACAGCTATTTCTTTAACAGCATCTCTAGTGTAGTTAATAAATCGCTGTTGGTTGTAGTAGATGTAGTTTATTCAATCTACATTTTTATTAACTGTCACCCACCAAACTATTGACTCAAATCCTGCAGCTATTTCACTTCAAGCTTTAAATTGATCTGGTATTCCCTATGGGACTCTAATTGTGTCTAAATAGACATGAGAGTTGAAAGACCCATAAGGGGCTTCTCTAGCTTTACGATGTCTTATTTTTCCTTCCGCTGGTTGATGAAATGCCAGGGTGAAAGGGATAGCCAATTGGACTAAAGCACAAGTGTCACTCCAGTTATTTGGCAGAGTGTCCAGTAAAGGTTCACCACGATACCACCACACATCCACTCAATGATGAACAAGGGCTGACTGACTGATAAGCTCTAGAAAATTCTTCATGCTCACTGCATCCCTTCAGGTCTCCGAGGAACGCTAAGTTTCCTCCCTGTCGTGAGAGAAACAAAGTGAACTTAGAGTTGGGAGATGGAAGCTGGATGGCCCTCGGGGGCTGAGTCACAAGGTGCCAGACTTTGGGATACAGCAGAGAGATATAACATGTTACACTGTTAACTTTTAGCAAACTTTACTTTTGTTGAAAACCTTGTAAGTTTGGTATTTCAATTATCCTTTGCTGTTAATAAGACCTTGTTTAATCCAAATTAACTTAGAATTGGTATAGATGGTTCCTTCCTGGTTCTGTAAGTACTTTAAGGCTTGGCCGAGTGGAAACAGCTCACACATTTGAGTAGACCAATTATTAGGCAATTTTCCTAATTCTGCTTTTACAAGAGTTTCCCTGTCAATTACTGAATACCTATTGTGTCTTTTTCCCTCAGTCACCGGGAGGAACCATCTGTCCTCTCGGGAACTGTCCTGAAGGGAGTTCCTCCTAGGTCTGGTCAGACCTTTGTGTGGTAATTAATTAAGATTTAGATCCCCTGTTAGGAAACCTGCTGGGTTAAGGGAATTATCAGTGGTTAATGTTAAATCATGTTTTTCTAACAGAAAATAGCCCCACACTGTAAGATTTTTGAGTTAGTAAGCTACATGTTTGCTTTTTTTTTTTTTTTTTTTTTTTTTTTTTTTTTTTTGAGATGGAGTCTCGCTCTGTCGCCCAGGCTGGAGTGCAGTGGCCGGATCTCAGCTCACTGCAAGCTCCGCCTCCCGGGTTCACGCCATTCTCCTGCCTCAGGCTCCCGAGTAGCTGGGACTATAGGCGCCCGCCACCTCGCCCGGCTAGTTTTTTGTATTTTTTAGTAGAGACGGGGTTTCACCGTGTTAGCCAGGATGGTCTCAATCTCCTGACCTCGTGATCCACCCATCTCGGCCTCCCAAAGTGCTGGGATTACAGGCTTGAGCCACCGCGTCCGGCCTTTTTTTTTTTTTTTTTTTTTTTTTTTTTTTTTTGACTTAGGGTAGTTCTGAACTTGTGAGGTGTACTCACAATGAGGTTTCCTCTAAAAGCTATTTTTCTACTTTCTTCTGCTAGCAAAGCAGTTGCCGCTACAGATTAAATGCATTTGGGCCATCTGCAGGTTACTGGGTTAAGGATTTTTGATAGGAAGGCCTCAGTGCTTTCTGGCTACACCCTTGTTTATTACTGACAACAAGGTGGTATTGGAGTGTTATAGGATCACGCAGAAGACCTTCAATTATCTATTATAGGTTTCAAATTTACCCTGGCTTTTAAAGGAATATATTGCACTGTTTTCTCTTTACTACATCTATCTCTCTTTCTCTCTTTGACTTTCTGTCTCTCTTTTTCTCTCTCTTTGACTCCCTCTTTGTCTCTCTCTCTTCCTCTCCCTCTTTGCCTCTCTTTCTGTCTCTCTCTTTCTGCTCTCTCTCTCTCTTTCCCCTCTCTTTCTCTCTCTTTCCTCTCTGCTGTTCTTTCCCTGCCTCTGTCAGCCACTTGTGCTGCTGTTCTTCCCTCTCCTTCCCTTTCCCCTATGGGAAGGACAGGCAGAAGTGGAGCTACTCTTTCTTCCACTGAAAAGAGGATGCCCAAGATGGACATTAACTTGACTCAAGTGTGCAACTGAGGTCCTAAGAATTGGTCAATTCAGTCTGCCAAATTGAGTGAGTTTCTTAATCCTGAGTTCTAGTTTGATTGCACTGTGGTCTGAGAGATAGTTTGTTATAATTTCTGTTCTTTTACATTTGCTTAGCTTAGGAGTGCTTTGCTTCCCACTATGTGGTCAATTTTGGAATAAGTGCGATGTGGTGCTGAGAAGAATGTATATTCTGTTGATTTGGTGGGGAGAGTTCTGTAGATGTCTATTAGGTCTGCTTGGTGCAGAGTTGAGTTCAATTCCTGGATATCCTTGTTAACTTTTGGTCTCGTTGATCTGGCTAATGTTGACACTGGGTTGTTAAAGTCTCCCATTATTATTGTGTGGGAGTCTAAGTCTCTTTGTAGGTCTCTAAGGACTTGCTTTATGAATCTGGGTGCTCCTGTATTGGGCGCATATATATTTAGGATAGTTAGTTCTTTTTGTTGAATTGATCCTTTTACCATTATGTAATGGCCTTCTTTGTCTCTTCTGATCTTTGTTGATTTAAAGTCTGTTATCAGAGACTAGGATTGCAACCCCTGCTTTTTTGTGTTTTCCCTTTGCTTGGTAGATCTTCCTCCATCCCTTTATTTTGAGCCTATGTATGTCTCTGCTCATGAGATGGGTCTCCTGAATACACACTGATGGGTCTTGACTCTTTATCCAATTTGCCAGTCTGTGTCTTTTAATTGCAGCATTTAGCCCATTAACATTTAAGGTTAATATTGTTATGTATGAATTTGATCCTGTCATTATGATGTTAGCTGGTTATTTTGCTCATTAGTTGATGCAGTTTCTTCCTAGCATCGATGGTCTTTACAATTTGGCATGTTTTTGCAGTGGCTGGTACCGGTTGTTCCTTTCCATGTTTAGTGCTTCCTTCAGGAGCTCTTGTAAGGCAGGCCTGGTGGTGACAAAATATGTCAGCGTTTGT